TTAATGCGACGGTGTTTAAAGAACAAGTTACACACCTAAAAAACAATGATACCTCCAGTAAAATAAATACAGTTCTTGTTCTGTAAGTTCTTACAGAAATCGCTTGTTGTTTGTTGTTTTGTGTGCATGTGTGAGAGAGAAAGAACAAGATAGCTTCCAACTACAGGCAAGATAATACCCATTGTGTTTGAATAAGATCTTGTTTTAAAATAGAATTGATTTGGGGCGGAGGGAATTTAAATTTTGACTTTTTAAAAATACCATGTGATAAATTAGCACTTAATAGCACTTGTTAGTATGTAATTTCAGCCTGACTCCTATTTGTGGCAAGGTAAACTCTGGCAATTTCAATACAAAGTCCCAAATTGTGGCCTTTGAGTGAGAGTGTGTGGTGATGGTTTTACACACGCTTTTAAGATACTGTTTTTTCACCTCTCTGAAAATAATCACTACTTTACTTCTGAACTAGTGTGCCTCTAGGACTTCTTAAAATTTCTTTTCCTTTTTTAGTTTTTCATTGAAAAGTAGTGTGTAAACCTGTTGTTTCACTTGTCAGGACCCAGGAATTTTTTTCTTGGGCTGCTCTGCAAAAGCTATACTCGGCAGTAATTGGAAATGAAGGCTTTAACATATCACTTTTTTACAGTAATGCATTACTGAAGCTGTACAATTTTAACTTCCTAAGAGCCAAAATCAGGTGTCATATACACTATTCTTCCACTAAGCAGCCCTATTGTTGCCTTTAAATGATGGTCTCTAAATCTAAGCCAAATACTGGGTTAGTGCAAGTCTTAATTCATCATTTGAGATGCAGTAGTATCTGTCATAGAATTTTCGAAAATAGCCAAGTGGGCTCGAGCTGTTGGCTTATTGTATCTTATTGTCCTGTATTTTGTTCTCTTCCACCAGCTGATCTACATGATGGCTACCACATATAACTATGCTGTTTTGAAGTTTAAGAGTCGGGAAGATTGCTGCACTAAATTCTAAATTGTATAAGCCCAGTAAAGAGCTGCATTATGTAGCTTGACATACCACTGACACCCTAGACTAAGAGTCTAGTTTTTGAATTTTGTTACAGTAATTTTGTAAATAGCTTTGATAAGCATATTTAGCATACCTAGATTAATAAAATGGCTTATTGTATATGAATTATGATGTGGATGAGATCTGGCTATTTCCTACACATTGAGAGGATTCAGTTACTTCAGGGATGTTGTACACCATGCTTTGAGGATAGGAAATAACTGGAGATGTTAAATTACAAACATCCAAACTATCATCTCTAAAACAAAGACTGGAATGGTTAAGTGTCAATCACTAATTTCTCCCTTTTGCCTGCGACTTGCTAGTTTTAAGGAGATATACAAGACCAGTCCCAGTCACTACATTTTTGGCTGAAAATACACAGAGCATATATTTTTGAATATCTTGTTTCCAGGTCATTTCATAGCCTATATTTGCCATGTCTGATTGTTAGACCCACAAGGCACAGCCTGTCAGTGAAGCTGAGAAAATCTACAAAAATGAAAACTAGCATTTTTTATTTTTTTTTAACTAACTGCCAAGGTGTGCTCTCTCTTGAAAATGAAAATATATCATTCTACAGCTCTGCGTAAAACAATCACCTTCCTTGCTAGACTGCAAATTCACTAAGGGACGGCAATTGAGTAGCTTCTGCGCTAATAGCTTTCACATTAGTAACTGATTTCTCAGTAGCCAGATCTCAAAATGTAAGTATAATTATATGGGAAAGAAACTGTGTGTAGATTTAGATATTTTCACACTGCTGAAAAGGTACAAGAGAGTAGAGGTGTTTGTTTTTCAGATGTAGATTTCTTTTGCATGAAATATGGTGAAAGGAAATTGGGAAGAATTTACTACGAAAAGTGAGGGGAACATTTTTTAAATATGCTCACTTTTTACCAGAAAGTAGATAATGGCAGATGATAAATGTAATTTAAACAAAAAAAAATCCACTAAAACTTGTTAACCCAGAGACTGCAGGCTTTTGCTTAATTTTGGACTCACATTTGTTTCATTTAATTTTTTCCCCGTATGTTAAAATGTAGCAATTTTTTCACAAAAAATAAACGCTGTTTGCAATTTTAGGCTTGTTTTTCCAGGGGGGGAGATGGAATTCATATCTGCTTTGTAGAAGGGAGAAAAAGGCTCACCAGAATTCTTGTGCTCCATGTACTTAAAAACAAGTTAAACAGCACTTAGTGTCTCTGAACCTGCAGAAAATATATACCTGATGATTGCAAAAAAGTCTTTGTTTTTTGTTGTTTTCCCTATACTACATTTTAACTGATCAGTGACTCTTTAGCTCATGTTTACTACTGTTGCATACTAACCCTCTAATAAGCAAACTAAAAGACAAGCATGCAAAAATTCTAGGTCTTTTCAAATGAGCCTCTGTGCCCGTTTTAATACCAGAATGCCTATTAATGTAGAATAACTTTTTGTTAAAGAGTGTCTATTAATCTGACTAGCCGCTTGCTTTGCCTCTTGACATGCTCACTAGCCATCATGCTCACCCTTCTCTTCCAGATCCACTTCCTCATGATACTGTCTTCTAACTGGGCCTACTTAAAGGATGCAAGCAAAATGCAGGCCTACCAGGATATCAAAGCAAAAGAAGAGCAGGAGCTTCAGGATATCCAGTCTCGGTCAAAAGAGCAACTCAATTCTTACACATAAATGTTTGCCAGGGTAATTCAGCTGAAGAATTTTTGTAGCTCTGACAAATCAGCAAACAGCTGCTCTGCAGTTCAGATTTATGTCCAAACAAACATAGAAGTGTAAAACTTCATATTTAAGTTCCTGGGACATGTTCAAAGAGAAACCTTCCAGTGTGTAACATTCTTTCCTTTAATACAGAGATTGGAGGTTTCATTCCCGGCATTTTAAAAGGCAACACTTTGCAACAAGTGACCAAATAATTAATCCTTGTAAGACTTTGCTATGCTAGCATTTGGCCAGGATTCAATCTTGTGTCATAAGATCAGAATTGCGGCAGGTGATCAAGACCAGCAGGTAGCAGATCAGAAGCTGTATACACTTTTGCACAGGCATACTTATGTAATTTAACAAGACTCCTTGGTCTGTGTAACATGAAATAGGGGCTAGCTCAGATTTCTAATAGCTCATGTTTGTTCAATGCCAGTTTCAGCCTCTCATAAACCAAAATGGCAGTCTTTCAAATTGCTATTCTCATGGGCTTAAGGACTGATGTCCACTGAGCAACAGCCTTATCTCCAGTGTGCCACAGTCATTATTCTGCACTTACTACCTGGGTAAACTACATACTGACTAGTTGATTGAGTGTCCTAAGGCTAATTTTTAATTATTTGATAGAATGTAAACCCTTAAGTCAGGATAATGATCACCTTCTTAGAAAATAAATGTCAGCTTTGCCTTAAATATTTATTTTCTATAAATGCCTTAGCATTTATATGGTAGCAGGAGACTATTATCCTGTGTTTTTAAGTGAAAAGTGTTACCTTATTAAAATGACACTGATTTGACTATTGCAAATGAGCAGAGTAGTAAGTTTGCAGAGTTTCATGCAAAGTGTGTAAAACATTACAGCCATAAAGCAGAACACAAGCTGGCAACCTTTCTCTACTTCGGTGCTTCACAAATTTACAGCCAGTGCTTATTCATTTTCTCTTCACTAATCAGATATTGCAACAAGAAAATGTGGTGTTCGGCAAAAAATACCTGGTGCCATATTGAAGTAATTTTTCACAGAAGTCTGCCTTCTAATTTTTTTTTCAGAACTATCCAGTGATATCTTGAGTATTAGTGATGGTATATTTGGTGTTTGTTCTTTACAATATTATATATATATAAATATAAATGTTGAAGAAAACAAATACAGTCATTTGAAAAAAAATAGTAAAGTCAAGTCCTATACCCATGTTAAGTTAACGTGTGGTTTGATAGTTTTGACTGTTTGCTGAATATTAAATAAAAGGAAGCACAAATTTCTTTAGGTAAGTCCATATTATATGGAGACATTTTCAGATATTATCTGCAATTGAATTTTTGGTTAAATACCTAAGTCTAATTTGACAGTTTTAAAAAATGAGGCAGTCTATGTAGAGCAGATATGACAATAGCCTAGTGTTTGTTTTACCTGTTGCATGAAGGAGACATTTCTACAGCAATGCAGGTGATGTTCTAGCCCAGTGTTTGCATAAGGGTAATGAAGGCAGTGTCTTAAAGCCTAATTCTTTTCTAATTCAATGTAGCTATTACTGGGAGTTTTTGAAGTTTTGTTTAAGTAGTCTAATATTTTTATGTAAAGAGCATTAAATTTTGCTATGTATAAATTTTTGTAACCTAACAGTGAATCAATATTTTCTATCAGTGCCAAGGGCTTCCTGTAGTTATATCCAAGTGTTACAATAAATATTTGTAGATAATAGAGACAATGGTTGTGTATGCTTATTTTAAGAACTTTTCATACTTTTGGCTCTGCAAGCAAGGGCAGTTGGGTAACTTTATTCTGATGAATTTCCATTCTACACGGCTCTTGAATTGCTGTGACAAGTTCATCTTGAGTAAAAGAAATAGCTTTCCTTCAGTTAACTGTTACCATTACCAATGCCAGACTGCAGCTGGAGCCCAGCATCCAGTGCTGGGTGCCGCACTTCAGGAAAGATGTAGAGTAGCTTGAGAGAATCCAAAGGAGGACCACATATATGATAAGAGGCCTAGAGAGCAGGTCAGACAAGGAGAGGCTGTTCAGCCTGGAGAAAAGAAGACTCAGAGGGACTTAGTAGCAGCCTATAAGTATATCTATATCAAGGGTGTACATCAGGGCCTGGGGAAATATTCTGTTCACCAAGGTCCCCCAGGGGAGGTCAAGACATAATGGGCACAAACTGATTGAGGATCACTTCAAGCTAGACATAAGGAAAAACTTCTTTACAAGTTTAAAAGTCAAGTGCTGAGGGTTTGGAACAGGCTCCCCACAGAGGTCACCCACCCTGGCAATATTCAAAAAGCATCTTGGTGCCCATCTTGCTGGGGTCATCTGATCCCAGCAGTCTTTCCTGCCCAAGTGCAGGGGGACTCGATCTGCACGGAGGCTGGTCCCTTCCAGCCCTAACAACTAGGAAATGCTAGGACAATGTCCTCAGCTGATTTACCATACCGTACAAATGTATTTAATTAAAATGCTGTAGCAGTTTTAAGCTGGTCTCTCACCAACAGAAATGTTACATGCAGTGACCAGGACAACTGTTAGGCTAAAAGTCGCTATCAAGAACCAAGCCAGTCTCTTGAATGATAACCTCTGTAGGAGAGAACCATTTCAATAATATTTTTTCTCCATACTTTAGGAAGCCTTCCTGATTACTGAGGTACAGCTGCTATCTCAAGTCTCTCTGAACACTCATCCTACTGTGCTCCTATGTACAGTCAAATGTATACATCCTCAGGAAGAGAAGTTTTATTCAACTCATTTTGTAAAAACTATGCCAAAAAGCTGTGAATTTTCACCAGGTTTTCAAGCCAGATCACTATTAAATACACTGATGGTGTCAAAGGCAGGACTTTAATGCCATTTTTCAGTTGTTTCAAATTCAATGTGTTCAGTTGGCAGAGCTGCAGATTATACATTATTTAGGTTCAGAATTACCAAGTACAGGATGCTGGTACATTACACCTTTAGTAAGCTAGCTCTATCAGGAGTATTTTCCTGCAATCCTAAAGAAGGTTTCAGCATTAGACTTAATTGGCAATTAATGAACTGCTCAATGCATAGCTGACACATTTTATTATTAAAAAACCCCAAGAACAGTCTACAAAATGCAACCCCCAAACTCATAGTAGTCTTGTTGTATCACTCTCTTGTGGAGTGGCTAAGGCATCAGTAGAGACGGAATGCAGTAGCGTCACTTGTTTAAATGTGTGGGGGATTGTTCCTGTCTATCACCGCTTCTATAGAAAAGTACTTAAGCTAACTCCAGTCAGCACTGTTAAAACTATACTGCTCTCCAATTACCATTTGTCTGTAGGAATACAACATTAAAAGTAATTGTCCTAGCTGAGCTTTATAATAGTTACTTAACATGCTATTTATAAAATCAAGGTAAGCACCCTGTGGGGAGAGGGGAACCACTTTCAAATCTACTTTGCCTGTATTTTATCATAAATTAATACTTGTGAATGTACAGCAGACCCTCTCTGAGCGCTCAGAATATCGTGTAAAGATGGGAAAGTTGGTGTGATACTTAACACACCAAGTTAAAGACCCCTTGCTTACTGGTTAGCAATGGTTAGCCATAAGTAGTACTCTTGGTACTATTAAACCTGTTAATTACTCCAGGGGCACAGTTACTGTTTTAAAACTCTATGCTGTTCTGTAACAAACTATACCCAGTTCAACCCCCGCTATTCAGCCATATTAAAATAAAAGCAGTTCTGCTGCTGCTTCATTCTGTGTTGTGCTGGCACTGAGGAGAGACCAGTCAATGCTGTTCACCAGAAGTCTTCATCAGGGCCTCCATGAGAAATGCCTGCAACACTAAATTTGGAAAGGGAGGGAAAAGGAGTTATGAACAGACTGTAAAGCAGGCTCTTACCTGAAGTTTACACATGCAATGTAATTGCATAGAAAAAAAAGTTACTAGCAAGTGGACTGTATTTTCACACTGGCTCATGAGCCAGCCTTTCAAGTTACTGAGACTCTGTCCCAGACCCTGAAAGAGATTCAGACATGTAAATCTTAGTGATTTCAGGGGGACGTTAATACCTAAACATCTTAGAATGCAGCTACTGACAAAGGTCTCAAACTCTACCCTAAGTGGTAGTAACAGAATACTAGTAACTGAAAATCTTTTCATACAAGGAAATCATCCTCTCAGAAATTAGTGCTTATACAGGTTTCACTCACTTTATGCGGGTTCTGTATGTGTGAATTTGCTCTTATGCGATGACCTCTTTTATACCAAAAATTTGATATATGCGAGGTAAATTCACTTTTATGCAGTCGGTATGGTGGAAGCTTGTAGTCAGCTGCTTTGTGCAGTGAATTGTGGGAGTGACCCACACCAAAATAGTCTCCTGTGTGGATCTGTGCTCCTCGCTTGTTGTCTGTGACACACGTTTCTGTAGCTGCCATACCCATTATGGTAACATTCACCACCCCCTTGTGCATGTGTGTACTGTCTGCTGTTGTTGAGTACCAAAACTATCTTGTAAAAGTGGTAGAAATAGGGATATATCCCTATTTGTTACATTGTAAAGTGGGTTCCCTTTATACAATTTGAGTTCTGTGCTGTTTTCCAGGAACACATGCAGCATAAAGTGAGCAAAACCTGTATCTGATGCTGAAGGCGAGCAATGTAATATTGCTTTTGTTTTGCATGGGAATTCCTCATCAGAACTTGGGCACAACTTCACAGTAACATGGTTAGCATGTGATTTGGAAAAAAATATAGCAAGGGGGAGACAAGCTCAGTTACAACCCACAAATGTGTATCACCTGAGGAAATACAATCTTGATAAATGTTCAAAGCAACCTGTTGCTGTTCTACCTGTGCCAGGTTACCTTAACTTCCAACAGAGGGTGTGACATGAGAGGTAGGGTGCAAGAGGACCAATGACAAGCAAATAGCCTGTAGGAAAGTTAATCACTGTTTCTCAAAGGGATAAAGCCATTGGGAAGTAAGGATGGTTCAATATTACTTGAGTACTTCAACAATGTCTCCGTATAGCCCAAATGCACAGCATAGTGGTGACAGGATAAGGAGTCTTTCATTTGGTCTGAGCCGACCGTGGTTCAAACATAACAGCTACTTTGTGATCAACATGAAACAGATGGCTAGTTACAGTCTACAGCCTGACTAGGCAGATACCTATCTGACCAAATCTGCTCCTATAGCTACTAGTGATTTTTCCAGAGACGGCAGAAATTTGACACAGACCCACACTGTAGTGAAACCAGCAAACTCAAAAGACAGGAGGCATTGTAACTAGTAGCAGAGAAAACCTCCCTAAAAAGCAAGGTACATTAAACAGTAGAATTGCTCTACCTCCACACAGTAATCCATAGGCTAAATTTACTCTAAAAGCTTTATTACCCCAGGGAAGTTTCTCCTCAGCTGAGTACAATATAGAGATTATATTGCTGCTATCCCATAAATAACTGGTTTGGCAACAGCAGTGCTAAAACTATTGGATTCAGTTGCTTAACATTATTTTAAAGTTGTGCTGCTGTTCACAATAAATTCTTCATTGCAAGAATTTATTGTGAACAGCAGCAGCAGAAAAAGGGGGGGGGAAGGGGCAGGTGGACAGCCTGCTAAAGACAATTTTTAAAAATGGCCTCTCTAACTTAAACAAGTAGAACAAAGACAGGATTTTTCAGTGTAATACTCCTTTAAGAAACAGGTTTGTCTGTATATCCATTTTGTTTTTAGACTGTGGATATTTCTTAAGCATAAAATCCAGCAGTATTCTCAAGTGAGTACTAGTCACAAAAATAACAACAACAACACTAAAAACACATCAGCCTTACCTTTCCTCTTTATCACTAGACGTTAGTCTTTCCATCAGTGATACTTCTTCTACTTCCTCTTTCACCAAGGTCTGATAACAGAAGGAAACATTACATGTTATCTAGTCCTTTGGCCTAACTTTGCCAGTGTAATATAGTATATAACCATATGCAGCTAAAGCAAAGATAAGCTATTTTTGTAAAAAGAAGAAATTTGAGCTGTATGTACATAATGGCTTCAAAAACAAGATGTGTTAGAAAACACCAAGCACACTGCCAACAACATACTGCATCAAAAGAAAGTGACATTTAGGATAACAAGTGTGAAAAACTTTTGAATAGAAAAAACATCTCACTAACCCCGCCCCTGCCCCCAAACATATTTAATAGATAATCTGCTCACTGTAAGCCACCAAGGGAAAGATGTGCCTCTCACCACAGAGGTACCCACATTCCCGAGGACAGATTTCAGTTTCTGGAACCCATTTGTCTAGACAAATGCAGTCTTTGTGCAATATCATTTACATGTATAAATATGCACCCTCAAAAACAATTTGTACAGAAACAACATTTTGTAAGCATGAACGTTACCACCTGCATCTTACTGCTTACTGTTTTGTGGACTAGGTAAACAGATTTTGGCAGTTCCTGTCAAAACTGATGGCCTGATTTTTTTTTTTTTTTTAACTGGCCTCTGCTTAGGTGCAACATTTTGGAATTAACTAAAACTAAATATAAATATTCTATTGTATGTTATTTCCTCACAATCAAAAGTATTTCCTTTGCAAAGCTTTATATTTCTCATGTGACCTAGCTAAAATCTCTTAGAATAACACTAAGGGACACAAGGAACACAACCCCAACTAGCTAACCAAACAACTGTATTATACATTTACTCATTGCTCTTACATTAACTTTGTCAGTGAAGAAATGTATGAGAAAATAAGGTTCAGTTCAGCGGTCTCTTACCTCCTGACTTATATATTCTTATACCTCCTGACTTAGATATATATTCTTAGAGACACAACACTGTCTTAGAAAGTCACTATTTGAACTCGCTCCTACACCCTGTAATTGTCCACTGTATTGGCCAATATTACCTTGCTTGCCAGCTCCTGCTCTCTGTTCTGCTGAATAATTTTCATGTATTTTTCTAAGGGAGTAGGAAGAGGATCAGCCAAATTGCTTTTAGCATCAGGAATACCAATTTCTGACTTTTTGACTTGAGCGTCTTCCTCCTTTCTTTCCATTTTCAATGAATCTTGGATCAGCTTCTAAGAAATACAACACAAAAACAACACCCAGGAATATATCATGCTGACTGGTCATAGGAAAAATATTTAAGACAATCATATATGGAGCTCAATATATTGACACATTAATTTCAGTACCATGTCAGCCTAATCTGCAAACACTAACCTATGATTCATTTTGAATACTATCTTCATTGTTACATTTGCTACACTCATTCTGAGCCTGCAGTCATTGCATAGGAAAAACATGCTCTAGTCAATGGAAGTTTTGCTTAGATGAAATTGAAGGATTAGAGATTTGTGATATTTCTATACTAAACTGACACCCAGACTGTTATTTGTATTCAACTTGTTCTAATGCTACACATAATACTTTAATACCCTATGGCATATACCATACTGGCCCAAATCCAAGACTACTTCAAATTTAAGATGACCCTCCCGATTATTAGATTCTATAAATGGAATAATTATAAATTTGTTATAACTTTTCATGTATAAAATTGAATAATTGGGAAGGTTATTTTAAATTTGTCCCCCCAAAGCTGTCCTTTGCTCCCGGACCTCTTGCCTTCTACCTATACCTATGGCTTCACCCTGCTGCCTTCCCTCCCTGCCACTTGTCCCCCCCCATGCCTGTGTCTGCCCCCATGGTGCAGCATTGGTGGGGGGGACCTGCAAGGGCAAGCACTGCAGGTATGGGGAGGGAAAGTGGGGGAAGCATCAGGGAGCATCCAAACAGTGCCCTGGTATAGACTGCATAGTGTGCCGGCACCAGGGCGTGTGCCCCCCTGGGGCTTAGTAGTTAGACAGCCCTGAAACCCAACATCACTCAAGGAGAAATATTAGCAACAAAAAGTTTGGTTCTAATCAGAGTTGTGGATGCAATATAATATTACAAGTGAAAGAAAATTTGGTATATATTAAGTTTGCCTACAAAAATCAGATTTGTTTTGGTAGTCTTTTATTGGACCAACTTTAAAATAAAACTTGAACAAGTGAAACTAAACTACCACGATGCTCTAGAGTGAACCGTCCAAAAAAAGGTAAAGAGAAATCACCATCTTCTAAACTGACACTCAGATTGTTTGTTGCCTTCAATTTGCTTTAATGTTATATATAATACTTTAATGCCTAGAACCATCCGTTATGACAGAACCACCACTTCGTCTCGGACGTCACAGCCCTCCTCTGGAGAAAAACCCTACGCTACAGCCCTAGAAGAAGTGCCAGGGAACCACAATTCACAATTTTACTGGGCATAAAAAACCATGGATTTAAAGACAATGGTTTTATGGCTCAGTCGAATTAACCAGCTCCCTCTACTAATTCCCCTTTGCTCCATAAATGATAATGGCCATCTTCTCTGTTGAATTAATTTAGGTTTTTCACATACTTGGGTTTATCTGTTTAAACTGTTCTTTCCTTGGTCTGTGATTACTTCTGAGAACATCACTGTTCCCCAGAATTAGTGTCCACTTTTCATTTTAAAAGATTGCTTTCAGTTACACAAAAGAATTTTTAAAAGTAATTGCTCTACCTGACATTTAACTTAAGCTGTTTCTGTTTTTTTTCTGGACCTGAGGAAGGGCATTTTATGCTACAAAGCTGTCAAACATCTCCCTCCAACTATACAGTTAGTCCAGTAAAAGATATAACCTAACGAATCTTGCTTAATTCTATTGTGATGATTTAGGAAATATGTGCAGATATAACACCACTACTAAAGAAGTTAATATAGTTTATTGGAATTGTTACGTGGTTTATATAGTTCAAAGTATATGGTACAACATTATACAGCATTACTATGGGAATTTTAAATGTTATGTCACCATTTCCTCATTCAGTTTTTCTAGTTCTCTTTGCTCTTTTTCCAAAGCTTCCTGTCGTTCTCTCTGCCTTCTTTCTTCCCTTTGTTTCCTTTCTTCCTCCCATTTTTTCTCATCCTCTTCTCTTTGCTGATCTTCAGACTCTCTTTGATTAACTGCTGCTGTAATGGAGTTATTTTTACATTTGTAACATTTGACATACTAAGTTTGGTTACTGCATTGTGTAAGTGCAAGTTATAAACAAGAGGGGATATGCAGTTCAGGAATGCATTTAATACACTGGTATTCAACATTGTGTAAGATGGAAAACAGATAAGCAGCAAATAAAACTGTACAGAAAAAGAGCCTAAAACTACTGTGCTACAAGTTCATAAAAGCACTATATCATTAAGAGGAAACATTTCTTCCCATTATTATGTCTTCCTATCTTATTGGTTACACAAAGAATCCTTAGGACTCTTAAACAGAAAATGAATGGGACAGCCTTGTAACTTGCAGAGGGACAGGCTGTCAGGATAAATGCACATACTCTCGCTCTGCCACAGACTTCCTGGATGACTTTGAAAATTTTGCTCAAACCTGGATGATTCTCTTAAAACAGATCAAATACATACTTAGATCAAGCTTCCAAAGATGGGATGTGACTTAAGTTGTGAACGCAGCTTCTACAGGGGAAAATAGGTGGCAAGTACAAAAAAGTCCTCAACTCTTCTCAGTTTTCCCATCTTTGCAATAGACATTGCTACTTGCCTTCCTCACAGGAATGTTGCGAGATTTGCTTCTTTCATGTTTGTAAAGTGTTTTACAAAACTTAAATAGAAGATTCTATATAAAAAGGCAAGTATTATAAATAGCCACTGAGGAAAAAATAATTACAGAATATCTATGCTGTCAGGTAAACACTAGTCACTTCTATAAAGTAGCAATTTTTTTAGGTGCACAAAATACCAAAAGCTATTTGAAGCTCAAAAACTATACTGATAAAAAATTACTGTATCTCTGAATGGTATGGAAACACAGGAGAAACTGAGTGCGTTTCATTGAAAGCATCAGTATTGACCCATGCAAGTGGCTTATATCCTTTCCCCATTAGTCAGACCAACACATTTAGTGAACTGGTATACAAAATAATCACCAAAGACAAGCACCTATTAAGAAAAAGAAACTTCAGATCCATCACCCCAGACAGCAACAATCATGGAAGTTAAAGATATCTTAAAACCCCCAAAGAAGTCTTTAGATCCAAAACACAAATGATTAAATTAAAGCAAAGCTAAGAGAAAGGCATGAAAAATCATCCTACAGTAAATCCAAAATTAACAGAATAGCCATGTTCCTTTCTCTTCAGCACATAAGCACTAGCTTTGAGAAAAGTTTTCAATCAGTTTGATACACATAATTACAGAATGCTAAATTTGGTGCTTTTTTGTTTAATGCATTTGCCATGTAAAGGGGGTATTCACTTTTGTTTCGAAGCTGAGAACTCACTTAAGTCCTGCTGTGAAGTGGCTGTTGCTGGCACAGTGTTTGTGACATGGCCTCCATTGACAATGTTCCCAGATGGATGTGACACATCACTTTCGAACTGCTCTGGAATGTCCCCTTGATCTGGACAAGAAGTTTGAACAATGGCTTCATTATTTTGTAATTATAGTAGCGGGACAAAGGAATAGACACAAAGTGTGGGAATGGCTGAGTTAGAATACAGAAATTTAAGCCATTCATTAATTAAGCACTTTCCCCAACAAACTCAACCATTTCAAGGAAAATTAACAAGCAAATAGGCTGCACTTCAATTGTAATCATGGAACTGTTTGGCTTTGAAAAATTAATTGTTGCAATCCCTGTATATACTAAAGCATTGGCATAAATGACATAACATACACACATAAAATAAGATGTTTTAAAAAACCGTAAGTAGATATCTATAAATAATTACAGAATGTTCAAAATCCATTTTTCTTCTCAAAATATTTACTTATGCATATTACGTACATACACACACAGTCTCTCAAAAGCTACAAAATCAGGCAATCAAAAGCTAATAAATCCCAAAATTACAGTAGCCTGTGCAATCTTGATTCATTTTCCTTGTGCATGTGCATTAAGAGACAGTTGCATCATAATCACATATTGCTTTTTTTCACAGTATCGCTGCCTCATTCAGTATAACTGGACAGGACAACCATACAGCTCCCTTAAATTAATACTTATTCATTATTTTATTTTCTCTTTATAGTTCAGTACATGACCACAGGGTTTGGCCATGAACAGACATTCAGATTCTCCTGGGAGTGTGGCAGCTGTCCCAGGAAACACCAGGAGTGTACAGATGTTCAGGATTTTTCTCCCAGAGCAAAAATGGCCGGTCCAGGAGAAAAATAACTTGGGAACAAGGACTGAATCACTCCCAGGAAAGTTTCTCTTGGAAGAGTGAACGCACGCATCCTCTTCTGTGGGAAGCCACAGCAGAGTGTGCTTTGCTTCTGCGGCCTTTCCCCCTACCCCACCTCACCCCCCAGGAGACTGTGTTGCTGTGGGATGGGTTGGAGGAGTCTAGTGTTAATCAGATATTACATTCCGGACCCAAGAAACTTTCCAACACTAGTTTCAGTGGCCTGATATGTTCTGACAATACTAGCAGCATCAGCCTTTAGCTGCAAATTTTCAGCTCTTCTACAAATCAGATGAGTCAGAGAAATTAAAAAAAAAAAGTTTGTTAGCAACCACTTTATGGAAGTTTGGCTTAAATAGCTTCCCTAGTGTCACAGAGGAATCACACTATGTAAGCCTGTTCTTTCTCCCTGACACCATGCCTCCTGTTCAGCTCCATCCAACCTCTACAAAAATGAGGAAGGGTTGATTGACTATTTTGTAATGAGTATGCAAAAGGAGGGCAAATTAAGGTGGTCCAGGTAACCTTAATTCTGACATTTCTTCACTTCTAAGTGTTTGACTGAAGCAGTTTGACTTTCTTTTAATGTAGGTTTTGTGTAACTAGCCTTATTTCAATCCCATTCTCCACCAGTTCCTACTAGCTGAGATCCTCAGCCAATCTCAGGGTCCCAAGCACTGCCCACCGCTGCCCCCACTCCAACTTTTGCTCAGTCCATTTCAGAGTTACACTCTGGCTCTTCAACTGATTTGTCTACCCCCTTCCTACCATTTGCTTCCAAATGCTGCTCTCCTTATCCAGCCAGTCCCAGTCTCACCACATCCAACCCCAAGTGATTTATCCCTCCACCAAATCCAGTCCCAATCTCCCCTGCTCACTTGGCCCTTGTACCAATTTACTCTCTGTCCTACCAGGTCCAGCTGTTTTCCTGCCTATGCTTGAATGATTCAGCTTCTTTTTCCACACTGTCTGTAGGGATGGGGACTGCCAGTACATGACAGGTGGAGTCCCTTTTCTCATTTCAGGTATCTGGCCACAGCATGGTTTGCAGCAGATCAAAGCTGCAACTGCAGGGAGAACCACAGTCAGAGGCTGAAACATGCTTAGTACAGATTGAAACTTTGGAGTCCCTAACTGCAATGCGCTGGCAAGTCTTAACTCAATATGTACAAACCGGATAATTTTTCATAAACCAGGCCAAATTTGAGTGGATTTTTCACAGGATTAGTAAAGAAAGTTCCCTGACACAAAGGCCTTTGCCTGTCAAATTCTAAGTCCCTTCTCCAAAGCATGAGGTGCTAGAGCTTCTCTAAATACAAATTGTCAGAAATTTTTAACGTGGACAAAGCCATGTAGTATTTGTTAGCCTTGTTGTCAGAAACTGCTAAATGCTTTAATTTGTATTTTTTTTTTTACATTTTCAGCCCAAGCCAAATGCCCAGCACAAAAATTTCAGCGTAGATGGTTTAAGTCTAATACAGTTATTAGTGACTGAATAGTCATATAAAGGAAAGTTTATACATTATATAGCCGGACGAAGGGTATTTATACCCAAAAGCTTGCAAAAAAGAATTTTCCCAACTATTTGAGTTGGTCTAATAAAAGATATCAGATTTACCCAAAGAACCTTGTCTGCCTATAAATGAAAGTGTAAGACAATAGTAATAACAGGTAGTCCTACCAGCTATGCCTATAGTGATATGTATAGATCCCATTCTTAAGTGGCAGATAACCAACTGGGTGAAGCATCTATTTCAGATGCACCTGCTATATTTTTCTTAAGTTTCTATGAAATTAGTCTTCAATAACCTTTAATAATAAAAACAAGGCTACATAAACATATATATATTAATTGACATGTAATCAATAATACCACAATCCTTCCTGTTAGGTGTCAGAATATGGCTCTGTATACACCAAGCTTGAAACAGCAGAATCTTGTGCATAACACAATTACACCATTACTGTTGTTCTCATATATGGTAAACATCATTAACCTTTAGAAACAGAACAGATTTGGATAACTGGAAAGGAAAAACTAATTAGAAAAACTATTTTTATTATTCTGTTAAACAGCAACAGTAGTAGCAAAAAAGTTGTTAAAAATAAAGTTGGAAATATCTAAGTTTATATATCTTTATTTATATAATCAAATATAAGGATATATATAAATAAGGATATATAAGTTTATATATCCTTATTTATATAATCAGTTTGCCATCATTCAACTACAATTATATATTATATCCGACGGCTAAAAAACAACCGACCTCACAAAAACAGAATGGTAGCCTACGCAATGAAACTAGCCATTTAGAACACAAAAAGCATTTTACTTTGGGTGAAGATGAATGGTAAAGAAAGAGGAGATTTATTACAGGCCACCAAATCAGGAAGAGGAGGTGAATGAGGCACTCTTCAAGCAGGTGACATCTATCCAAAAGCTATGGGATGGTACTGATGGGAAACTTCAATTTTATGGACATCTGCTGAAAGAACAATGCAGCCAAACATTAAATGTCAAGGTGGTTCCCAACTTGTGTAGAGGACAACTTTTTCTTCCAGAAAGTAGAGGATACAACTACAGGAGCTTCTATCTTGGATCCTGTCCTGATCAACAGGGAAGAATTGGTGGAGGATGTGAAGGTGATGGGTAACTTGGGAGGAAGTAATTACAATACAATGAAGTTCCAAGTCTCGAGAGAGGCAAAGCACATGGTCAGCAAATTTAAGACATTAGGCAAAAAGGCATATTTCATCAGACTCAAGGAGTTAATAGGCATAGTGTCACGGGAGGACAGACCAAAGGATAAAGGCACCCAGAAATGCCGGGAGCTTCTAAAGGTCACAGTATTAGAAGCTCAACAAGAAAGTGTCCAGACACGATGGAAGCACAAGAAAAATGGCAAGAGACCAATGTGGCTGCACAAGGCACTTCCAAAATGCCTGAAATTAAAAAAAAAAAAAAAAACCCAAAAAACAAACAAACAAAAAAACAGGCATTGGAAGAAAGGGTTAAGGAAGCATACCACAAAATAGTAAGAATCTGCAGGGGCAAAATCAGGAGGGCCAAAATAAAGAATGAACTACACCTGGCAAAGGATGTTAAGGAAAACACGAAGCAGTTCTGTAAGTATGCTGGCCAGAAAAGAAGGGCCAAAGAAGCTGTGGGTCCTCTGTTAACAAGCCAGGGGAAACTCCTAACAGAAGATGCCAAGAAGGTGGAGCTACTCACAACAGCTACTTTGCCTCGGTCTTCACAAAAAAATTAAGCTGCAGCCAGATACCTAATAAGGATTATCTGTATAAGGAAGGGGGCAAGCTGGGGAAGGAGATAACAGACAGTCAGAGAGCTTTTGTAGGGTCTGAATGAATTAAAAATCAGCAGGGCTGGAGGAGCTTCAACCCTGAAGGAATTGGCAGAAAAGATCGTGAAAGCCTTCGCAATCATATTCATGAAGTTGTGGGTGACAGGCCAGGTGCTAGAGGACTGGAAAATGGTCAACATAGTGTCCCTCTTTAAAAAAGGCAAAATGAAGAACCTGGGGAATTACAGACCTCACCTCAAGACCTGGGAATTTACTGGAGCATATCATATCCTAAGGAAGGCCATTTGCAAGCATCTGGAGGAGGAAGGTCTGATTGCAAGCTGCCATCATGGATTTATGAAAAACAAATCATATCAAACAATCTTGATCTCTTTCATTGAAAAAGTAACTACTTGGGTGGATGATAGGAATGCCATGGATATAGTGTACAGGCAGTCCTCGGACTTACAACACAATTGGTTCCTGAAAACCATGTCTTAAGTCGAAACGTTGCAGTTCAGAAATGATTTTCCCATAGGAAACAATGTTATAAATGGGGAATTGGCTCCTCAGCCAAGGCCCGATATCCTATTTTCACCAAAAATAACCCAGAATTTTGTACTCAATCAATTACAGATGAGTAATATAGCTACATTAATGTATTTATATTGTAAATAGCATGATATTGATTTGGAAGGACTCCTTTGATGCAACCTCTCTGGACTTTTTGAAGGGTTCTTGGCTGGAGTCTTCTCAGGGTTCTTGGCTGCAGATTCTTCTAGAGTCTTGTCTGCTTTCTTAAAGACAGTGTCCAAGGAAGTTTGGACAGATGTTCTCCAGGGAGATGGGTGACGCAGAGAACTTGTTCACTGGTGTGGTGTGACATCACATCGGATCAAGGATTGTAAAGTTGAAACTGACATCATAAAGTTGAAACCGGGTGTCAATTTATAAACGTTCTAAGTCTAAAATGTTGTAACTCAAAACGTTGTAAGTCAAGGACTACCTGTATTATGAGAAGGTCCTGCATGACCTTCTCATAAACAAACTGGAGAAAGGTGGGCTGCGTAAAACTACTAAGGCTGGGGTGGATAGACACGGAGAAGGATTGAAAACACGTTGGAGGATGTGAGCGCAATTCAGAAGGATCTCGACAGATTGAAAAGTTGGACTAGAGCTAACAGGATGAAATTCGATGAGGACAAATACAAGATGCTACACCTCCAGAGGAATAATCAGAAATACAGATACAAAATGGGTGATACCTGGCTGGATGGCAGCACGATGGAAAAGTCTTGATAGACCACAGACTCAAAGACTTGGAGAAGTTAGAGAGTGTCCAGGCTGGACAACAAAGATGATAAAGGGCTTCAAAAGCAAGTCATATGAGGAAAGGCTGAAGGAATGAGGCATCTTCAGCTTGCAGAAAAGGTGCTGAAGAGGGGACATGATGGCAGTATTCAAATACTAAAAAGGAAGCCATAAAGAAGAGGGAAAGCACCTTTTCTTTCTTGCTGCAGAGAGGAAGACACAGACCAATGGCTTGAAGTTGCAGCAAAGTAAGTTTATACTGGATATCCAGAAAAAACTTTGACGCTGCTAGACCAATGAGGCAGTGGAATAGCTTGCCTAGGGATGTTGGACTCTCCATCACTGGAGGTGTTCAGGAAGAGGCAGCCATTGGTTGGGAATAATCTATAACTATGCCTATATTTTACTATAGGTATTTCCTGTGCTTTGCTCGTTCCCCCCACCCTGCTTTCTTACATGTGTCAGGGTTTTTTTAAGCCTCCCTCAGCAGCATTAGGAGTTGGCTACAGCCAAAGCTGGAGATTTTGACTGGGGTGTGCTGAAGCTCCTGCTGGGACCAAAACCAGAGATTCCTGGCTAGAGGGTCTTGCCCCCATGCTCAAAGTCAGACTGAGTGCCATATTTGGGGCCAGGAAGGAATTTTACCCTAGGTCAGATTGGTACAGACTGTGGCGGTTTTTCCCTTCCTTTGTAGTAGGGGGCATCCTGATCTACCCAGGATCTCTTGAGGATATTATTGACAAAATGGCATAGAAGCAGGATGTTGGCTGCCATGGGAGTTAAAGTAAATGACCTCTGGAGGTCTCTTCCAGCATTATTTCTCTATGATTCTATGTGTACCTTAATTTCATGTGAAGGTTCATGGAAGGGGATAGATAAGTTTTTTTTATTACACACTTGAGATAAGTGTTAGCTCATAGTAATTACATACATCAGTGATTCATATGCAGAAAATTTTGGAACAGAAGCCCAATTTTCCTGCTAGAGTTCTCTTTGAGATGAAGGAGAAAGGCATTCCTTTTTGCCTGGTATCCCATTGCCTGATGTCCCAACACAGATGCCACATGCTTTCCCCTGATTCTTTTGTCTTCGCTTACACCTTTCTGTATTTCCCTGTTATCTTTTCCTTTTTGCTGCTTCTTTTTCTTTTTGTAAGTTTTTCTTCCCCTTCTACTCTGTCCTTCCTTTATGGTAACTCGGATTGTCCTTCTTACTTTTTGGGGTGGTTTGTTAGTACAATCCAACATAGCACATAGGGTCTGACCAAGACTATTTTTTTTTCAAAAAAGAAAAAGAATTTTTTTTATCCCATTTAATCTTTGAATTTGTTTTATTCTTTCAGTTTTCAATCCATTGCATTGCTTTTATGGTTTAAATAACAAAAATGGCAAGGTTTTTTTTTTTTTAAATAGCCTCTGGCTGGGTGGCTTTTACCCTAGTAAATGAAA